TGGGTTCAGTCTAGTTGTCGGATTCGGCAAATTGTCTATTGGTATATGGTCTCCACCAGTTTTATTGGTAAACATGTCAGGCATCATGTTGTGACAGCTCCCAAAGTCTGAGTATTACCCTTTGTTGAGATTAACAGTATTGCCGCGCAGCTTTGTTGTGGCTCTGGTACCAGAATGCACACCACCCCGGTACATGTTCGCTACTGGTGCGGGATTGTCATGTGTTTTTTCCTTCGCGTGTGACACATGTTGTGTTTTTTGGGCAAGGGATGGTCTTGCGCTTGTCATGCGAATTCTGTCATCTCTGCCCGCATGTGGAGTGTCCAGACTGGGTGTTTTGTTTGGCTATGAAAAGGGATGTCACAGACCTTGGGAAACTAGACTGCAGCAAAGATAAAGCCTGCCTGGACAAACAGATGTGCGGCTTTGCTGTTCACAAAAGCGTTCTTTTGTTCTCCCTTGCGAGCACACAAAGGATCGGTTGAAGTGATAATGCCAATAACCCATGAAGCGCAGTTCTTTGTCAGTCTGCGATGTTTGCTCCGAAGTGCGAAATGGGCAGAAAGCACTTGCAACACATCGGCACGTGTGTTGTCCATCATGATGCGCCCAGCAAATTCTGTGAACCAGTCCTGCGTGCCTGCTGTTTTGTTGTTCGTTTGTTTAACCTGCAGTGGAGAGGACAGAAGGGTGGCGTGCGAGGGGAGTTGTCTTCCAAGGGGCTTTTCTATCATTGCTGTGCTCGGAGGGAGAATGCTATTCACCACGGCCTCGTTGCCACATTGTCTATGTTGGAGGTATGGGGCCGTACTGGTTTAGACCCGTCAGGCGAAGGAGCAAATGCAGAAGTTGGCCTCTTGGCTGAGATCCATTTGGCGTTTCTGGATCTTGCGATAAAGCGGCAGGATTGAAACGGTGTGCTCCCAAAGGTGCCCGACACTTGGGACGCCTCAGTTTACGTTCCGACATTCTCCGAAGTTCACGGAGGCCGTGGGCCTCCTAAAGAAATATTGTTGTAGGATGAGCATGCCCAAAAATCCAAACTGAGCGTGCCAGCCTGGTTTCCGGTTGGGGCATCTTGCTATTTGTGTTATTTGCACTTTAGTTGGACGCTCTCATTCTAGTTCCCTTGGCAAAGAGGAAGCCAGGCACAGCCTCATTTGGAATAATAAAGGGGGATGCTGCTACATGTTCAGCCTCTTTCTGATTGCAGCCGATCACCAAGAGCAGCCCCAGTGGTGCTTGACGGTCGGCTTCGCTTGATGATGTTGAGCAGCAGGCAGTTTGACCTTGCATGTCAAACTAACTGGCTTGCCAGCGAGACGCCGTTGGTTCGAGTACCAGTACTGCAGCAAAGGCGCCTCAAACGCCTTGAATTCAATCAACACCGCAAAGGCATTTCAGTCCACAACTTGCAGAGTGAACCGTGAACCCGACTACCCCGCCAGTACCCTGCTCGGCAAGATCAGGTGGAACCCATAATTTTGCGGAGCCATGGCTTTCCGTTCATGGTGGGCGCAGTTCTGCTTGTCGCTGCTGGCCTGGCAGATGGTTGCATTTTGCCAGCGCTCCTTTACGGCTGACTTCGGCGAGCCGCGGCGGCGTTTGGGCCGCACAGTGTGTGGTGTGCGAGAGAGACGCCAGCTAGGCCCTCGGCCCCGGCAGAGGACGGTGGGAGATGACCACACACCACCGTGGGTAATTACGAGCCGAGCCAGGGCTGCCTCCTCGGCTTCTGAGATCCTAGGACTGATGATGGCAGAGAACCAAAATCCGCAGATCAATTTGATTTCTGTGTCCGCAGCGTGGACCAGACTGGCAAAACTGGAGTGTGGCAGTGAGCAAATGACCAGCCATTCGTTCCTTCCAATGTTTGTCAGCCTGACTCAATCTCTTTTAGGAGAACCCTCAAGGCAAGCGCGCGCAGTAGCCAACATATTCTGGGCAACTTCCAAACTTCAGGACCGCATGCCATCACAGGTCAAAAGTTTGCGAAAGCCCTTGGAGACTGCTGCATTGGCCACCGCACAGCAGATGAACGCCCAAGAAGTTGCCAACGTGATTTGGGCAGTGGAGAAACTAGCCAACAATGATGCCAAGTCTGAACTCTTACTGAGCTTGTTGCCAGTAGTCACAGACAGGCTTCCAGCTGTGGCAGCAGAGATGACAGCCCAAGAGGTCTCCAACGTGATTTGGGCAGTGGCAAAGCTCACCGCAAGCGGTGCTGATTCAAAAGTTTTGCTGGACATGCTGCCTGTGTTGGCCAGTGTCGTGCCAGACGTGATATCAGGCATGAGGTCCCAGCATGTCGCCAATATAATGTGGGCGACTGGACAGATTTCTTCTGACTCTAGGTATTCGGCCATGTCTCGAGACTTGTTGGAGATTCTTCCTGCTGTGGTGGAACGCGCTGGTCTTGTGCTGCCGTTGGCCAGGCCCCAAGAGATTGCGAACTCCTGCTGTGGGCTGGCACTGAGCAACTACTTTGACGCACAGTTTTTTGAAGCTGTGGCCGCCAAAGTGGTTCAGGAAGCTTCTGAGTGGAGACCAAGAGGCGCTGAGCTCGACTTGCCGGAGGTTCTTTGTGCATTTGCCAAGCTGAGAGTTTCCGGCCATTTGCTTGGCCAGGAGACTGAGAATCTGCTAGATGCTACCGCCAAGAAGATGGCGCCCATTCTTGCTGGCATGAATGACTGGGGGCTTTGCGCTTTGGCCTGGTCGTTCCGAGAGCTGGACCTTGCTGACAACTTCTTCATCTTCCGGCGCGGCTTAGAGCAAGAAGTGACAAACCGCAATCTGTCAGAGGAAGTGATGCGCAGCCAGTTTGGGGCTGCAATGTGGCAAAAAGAAGCCAAACAGAGACCGAGGCCTCGCAAGAAATGATGCATCACAAGGCAGTCTCGGACAGCGTGCCGCTCGTTCTGCCATGTGCAAATAGCCTGATAACAGATGGTTTCGTGAGCTGCAATCCTTGAAAGGAGAGAGCAGCTGCTCCTTGTCAGAGCGAGGTGTAGACGCGGCGCACCCAGCCTCGATGAGTGCAGGGGGTATCACCCACCGTCGCACCAGGGGCTGCCGAGTGACCCTTCCAAGCCTCCGGCTGACCAATACAACTGCAGCACTGAGCGTGTCAAAGGAGCGCCGCTGCGTTGGAAAGTTAAGTGTCAGTCAGGTGGAAATCGGCTCTACTGCCGTTGTATGCTTGAAATATGTGTAGGCGTCTTGAGTCAATACCAGGGCCTGCTTTTGGCATGATTCTGAAGATGAGACTGAGAAGGGGCAGATCTTTGGGAGGGCCGTTGGCTTTGACACAAACACAAACGTCTATCATTGCCCATCATGTTGTACTTTGGCTTGTATCTGATCCTCAGTCTCTTGTTTCGTTTGCCCTCAGTTGAGAGGACTCCAGCAGGTGGCCGGTACCTCAGTTTTTGTTACGTGATGAGACTGGAAGGTCACTGCTTTGGGAAACACCCGCCGCGTGTCAGGCCTAGGTGAAGATGTTCAAGGGTGCAAGTCGCCGTTTGCCAACAAACCTGGAAGTGGGCAAAAGGGTTTTGGCAGGCAATGTTCAAAAGGCCCCCTGTCCACTTCCAGGGTTGGACAGAAGCACATTGCTATCAGTTCAGTGAGGCAAGAGCAACACGAAAGGCACTAGGGAGCTTAAACCTGGAGTCCAGTAAGCTTTGCAAAAACCGCCAATGCGCCACATTCCTGGACTGCTTGCAGCACCATCCGGGCAGACACTGATTCAGAGCCACTCTCCCTGGGTCACCCTGTTTGTCGGAGCCATTTACCATCTTTGAATGGTCTGGATTTTAGGTGGTTAGTGACCCAGGTAAGCCCCCTACTTAGCTTGCTGGACCATCCAAGCAGATGGACCTCCCTTTTGGAGTTGTTTGCAAAGGGACTCACAAGGAGCCACGGAGCCACGTGCCTGTCATTTCCTTGAAGGATACACCCAAGTGCAATACAATGGATAAGCAGATTTAAGTTGCCCACTCGCCAAGGTAACGTCACCTTTGTGTGTGTTTGTGTGTCAGGGTTACTTATTTTGGGTACAGTCGCGCGGGTTGAGGCTGAGCTCGAAGCGGCTCTGGCACCCTTCGCCTCTCCAAAGGAGGCAAGCACCTGTCGACTGCGAGTGGTACCCTGGTCTTCTTTTTTGTGGCTGGGTTCATCCAAGCGGTTTGGTTTGAAGGGGTTCTCATACTTGTGTTCCGGAGTTTGGTTCAACTAGCATTCAAAGGGCAATGTAGGAGGATGTCGCTTAATGGACCCAGTTTGGTGGCGTCCCTACCATTCAAAGGGCGCCTCTTTTTTGCCTGTGGCAGCTGGACTTTTGGGTCTTGGATTCATCAAAAAGGAGAGTGTTTTTTTCAGACGAGTATTCTAACTTTAAGACGTAATTTCCCACTCAAATAAGCTCAGGTGATATCCCCAACTGCAACCCTGTGGAACCCTCGCTACAGAACTGAACGCGTCACGGATTAGTATTGCCCTTCTTCTGGCTAATCCAAGCTCGACATTCACTTGCTAAGCTCACTTGCAAAACGCGAATCAACTGCATCTGAAAGGAATACCATAAAGAAAAATTTCTTCTCAAGCGTTCTTTCTACAAGCTCTTTGTTTGGATGAAGGGCGACTGTTCGCATGGGCGTTTTGGAAGTATCTTGGAAGGATGTACTTTGACCCTATTTAACACCAAAGAGCTCTTCTGAGGAGGTACCAAGAAACCACCCCGGCCTCAGAGACCACCCCGGCCTCAGCTGTGTTGAATCTGCTTCTCCTTGAGGGACTGCTAATGTGAGCAGCTGGCAATTAGTGCCCCGACGTTTTCTGGGGTATCATGTTGTCTAAAGCAAAGCGGTATTCCCATGGAAAACCAGTGTTATTTTTCCACATATAGCCTAAACGAAGTAGGTATTTGGAGATACAATGAGTAAGGAGTAGTCTTTGTTTGTTCGAGCGGGGGCTCATGTGCAGATCCGGTTGCATTTCCAAGTTCGAGGCTTCTCCTCTCAAGCCCCATCGCTAGAGGGGTGGTTTGCCTGGGAACCAGCGGAAAGGCAAACTGCAGCAGCCAAGCGACAATTTCCTAAACCAGGATGCCCCTAAACATGGTGGTGTCTCCTTTTCTTCGGCCCTACACCGGGTGTTTTTGCCCACTCGACTTGTCCCACAGTTACTTCACCGCAAAGAGCCGTCTAGAGACCTGTTTGGTTTCTCCGTAGAGACCTCTGCATGGTTCGGCTTCCTTGAAGTCGTGAGGATCCGGGCCAAGAGCCCGAGAGCGAGAAAGCCCGCAGCCGATCCAAGGCCCCGCGCGCGCGCGCGGCAGCCGGGCGTGTCTTTTTTGACGTAGCCCAAAGGGGGAGTGGGTTTAAACGGTTAAACGGGAAACCAAAGGAAACTAACCATGCGATTTTAAGACGCACCCAGTCTAATGTTCTGGAGGTGTTCAAAGATGTTCAAGGGCGATCCGCAAGACCCTTACCTTTGGGTTGCGAAGGGGGTGCCCCCTTTTTACCGTGTTTTTGTTTCAAGCAGGATGTATTGGGGTTGGCCAGCACTCATGTTGAGCAGCGCCCACACAATTCTCATGCCATTGGGTTGTTCTACAGGCTTGGGGTGATAGTAAGGCTTACATCTGGACCCGGAAAAAAAAAAAAAACACACACATAAAGATCGGAGATTGCCAACCAACATTCTGGTTGGTGATGTCCCATGTTTAAAGGGTATAGTTTGAGGGTTCATGTTGGTAGAACCCAGAGTCAACGGTTTACTTGCCACGTGTGAGTCGTCCCGAGTACCCCCATACCATCAAGCATGAACCGCTACCCTTTCTGCAGAGATGTCTGATTCTCAAAGGGCTTTTTTTGCAGCCTTTGGGTGTGAACCGCCCATGTTGTGGGTTCTTCCAGTTTGAGACAGTTCCATCTTGCTTGCAATGGCTCATTCGAGCTGTCCAACCTTCCCCTCTATGCCCAGGCGAAATCAAGCCACTTGTCTTCGAGTCGGCTGGGCAGCTGGCTGGGAAGTGATTGCCGGACGGTCTGACCTTAGAGCCCCATTTTCACGCATCCGCATGTTTCCATGTTTGTGCTTAGACCAGGCTTCTTTGCCTTGAGGAGGGTCTTGGGAGGTTGCTACATGTTGGCTATATTGGAAGTGCTCATCATCCCCTTTCAAATCTGAGATGGTCGTCGGAAAAGGATCTTTGCACTTCCATGATTGTTATATACGAGTGTACTTGAGTGTGTAAATGTTCAGTGAGCCTTTTTGCGGTGGTGCGAAAGGGACACTAAAGGGACATATTGTGGTTTGTTTGTTTCGTGTTTCTTTTTGTTTGTGCGGGGGGGGGACCTTTTTTCAAGCACACCTACCCGGACCCTCAAACTGCCTGTAGACATTGGGTTATTGACCCAACACTATTGGTGTGATTTCCATTTTCTAGTGGGTAGATTGAGGGTGCGGGGAACCCATTTGTCAGCTTTCCAAGGCTCACTGCGCGACACAAGCCGCGACAAAAGCCGCGACCGACGCTCGCGCGACCAGCTCTTCGCTTCCCGCCAGCTGCCGGAGAAGGGTCAGGACGGGAAACGGTGGAAATTCCTTGGGCCAAGCACGGAGCTTTCAGCTTGTTTTTTTTGTTGTTGTTATTCGTGTTTTTTGGGTGGGTGGGTGGGTGGGTGGGTGGGTGGGGGGTGGGGAGTTTTGTGCTTTTCGTTGGAGAGGGGGGGGATTTGAACTAGTTTTGGAATATGAAGTAAAGGTAAGGAGCAAAGTGCTGGGTTTCAGGTATCCCCGAATTGGTGGTTTGGTTGGGGATTTGAAATTATGGTTCTTGTAGAGTTAAATGGGAGAGTGTCCGTAACCAAACCACCGCGCTCCAACCATTGTATAGAGGCGAGCAATGTTGACCCCTGATTCATACACCACCCCTTTTTCCATCGGGGGGAGTTTTGCTGGAAGAAAGGATTCCCCACTGAAAGACGGGACCCCTTTTGCCTCTGCGATAGCGCACAGTGTCTTTTCAACAATCAGCGATTGATTGGGGGGAGCCGGGAAAGAAGGCTTGAAGGCCCCAAAAAAAAAAGCAAACGGGACCCCGGGCCCCGGAATTTCCATCTTGGGGGCAAACGGATGGCTGGGGCGAAGCCTGCGCTTTTCGGTGACGCGCCGAAGCCTCAGGAGGCCCGGAAGGCGGCGGCGGAGTCCGCGAAGCGCCGGGAAGAGAAGGCGCCGGGACGGGGCCACGCCCGGTTGGGGTCTGCTCCGAAGCTGTGAAAAATGTATTCAATTGAACAGGCCTCCTTAAAATCGACACATTTTGCCCATTTGAAACATGGCTTTTTCCACCAAAATAAAAGGAAACCACCATTTACAAGGCAATGTTCAGGTGCATAGTTGAAGGATTTCTGTTGAACCTGGACCCTCAAATATACCAAACCAAGATGTCCATGTTTTACAGTTTTACCGTAAGCGCCAAGAGTTGCTTCCCATCACCCAATCCTTCTGTTCAGAAAAAGCATCTATTTGGCCTTGGTTTTGGGATGAAGAGAAGGATCCCTGAACAGAATGCGGAGGATACTGCTACCTGGAGTCTCCATGACCCTTGAAAAATGTAGTCATCTACCTCAAAATATATGGGGTCATGACTCATGTTCTCATACCTTGGTGGCTCCCAGCCATCCCCTTTTAGCTTTTTCGCTTTTCAGTGTTGGAGGCGTCCATTTAACGCACTAACTGCTACACCTTCAGCAAAAGATCTACCCGCTGCCACCAGCTTTTTCAGGAGCGCGAAGGCCTGCGCGCCTGGCGCGACGGCGATGAACGCCGCCGCAAGTCGCGGAAGCGCAGTCGCAGCCGCAGCAAGCGCCCCTCGGACGGAAAGGTTCCCGGGTTCAGGGGGAAAATCGTTCCTTGTCAAACTATGCCCTTAAGAAGGGGAGCTCACCGCACAAGTTTGGGGCGATGTCCATGTTTTAATTCGAAGTTTGCATGGTTGTTGTTGGGAGACATTTTACATTTGTGCTTATTGTGGTTTAGTTGGACGTATCCACTTAACTGCTAAAAAACATTTTTTTTGCTCCGCTGCCACCGTTAGTCAAGTTTGAGGGTGCATGAGTTACTTTTGCATGACAAATGAAGCAACACAGCCTTCACTTGGATTGTAGCTTCGTGCCCACTAAGAAGCCACCGATACTGCCTATTTCATGGCGAGCGGCTTCAGCGAGAAGCCACGATTCTTTCATTTTCCGACAAAGACTGACCCGCACAATGAGGCTCAACTTGTAAGATCTGCAATTCCCATAGACAAATCACACACCGGAATCGGGGATACGGGAGCATCATGGCTCGAGGCTGGCTTAGGTAAACGGGTCCCTTGATACCTCCAATTCGAAGGCACCACGGCACCCTTTGGGTTGGTTGGAGGGATCTTTTTGAGGGATCCATGAAAGAGGGGTTCTACTAGGGGATTTCGCCAAGGGCCACCGGTGGCCAGAGGTTCCTAAGGTTCACCTCCTGCGCCACACTACGGTTCCAAGGATCCAACGGTTCAAGATGGGTTCCTCAACTGGTAAAAATATGGTTGAAATCACCTGCAAACATTTTGGGGCAATCACCCATTTTCAGGGTAGTGTGAAGGTGCAGGTGGTTATTGCATAGCCGAAACTTTGGTGATCTCCAAACCCAGTTTGCAGGGTAGTTGGAGGAGAAAGGTGCCCGGTCATGCACAGCTTCCTGAGCTTCTTCGTACGGAGCCCATCGCCCTTCAGATCTTAGGGCTGTGCACCCGAAGGGTCCAAACTGTACCTTCCCCTTTGAGTGCGTTGCCCCAACATGACCCCTTCAGGCCGTCCTTTGGTAGCTAAGGTGCCCAAGCCCCTTCAACCATCAACTCGGGTACCAAAGGGGCGTATGGATTGTTCACATGTGAGGCCAACTCTCCCGAAAAATCTCCGCACATGGCATCCTCAAAGAGAGTGCTGTTTTCGGGTGCCATGCGCAGGCCGCATCTCCTGGTTCAACATGAATTTGGGTAGCTTGTTTCTATTGCGCTTGAGCTGCGACTGATCTGCCCCTTGGAGCAGGTCTGCGTCCAGAGGGGCGTGGAAACAGTTCAGGGTAGACTGACTATGAAAACGGAATCTGAACAATTGATTTTGGGTGTACCCCAGATGTTGGCAACAAGTGGGCCAATTCGGTACCGGTTCCTGTTCCCTGCTCAGAGAATCTTTGGGAATTCGTGGGTTTTCCCCGAAAAACTAGTTGCTTTGTGTGTATGTGTGTGTCTGTGCGTCTTTGAGAGGGTTGCCTTTGTGGGGTGGTGTTGGAGGGAAACCCAAAGGAACGTCATTACGTTTGGGGTTCGCTTATGTTCGAAACCGTTCAACCTGAGTATTCTCTACTTTCCTAGTTGCTTTGTATCAGGGAATCACCATGCATTGCGTGGTGTCTTCTTGCGGAGACCAGGGTCTGCTTGGATCCACCAATTATTGGTAGGATCATAGGATTCCCCCCTTCCCAACCCCCTTTTGCCCCCTGTTTCCGCACCACATCCCCAAAAACGTGACCCCAACAAAGCCTTCTTAAGGCGCTGTGGTGGAAACCACAGGCGAAGGGACCCAGCTGGGTCCCCCCCGCCCCCCACGTGCGCGAAGCCGCGATGCTGAGGTCGGAAGAGCCGGAAGTCCTCGAACTCGAAGCGGCGGAAGCGCTTCTTGGCGTTGATGGGACCCGGGATCTGCGCGCCCCAGGCCTCGGATGTTTGGCGGTTCTGCTTCTACCCCAAGGCTCCTTTGGTAATTACCTCCCAAAATAACCCTTCTTCAGGTACCAAGCGAATTTTGGGGTGTGGGCTGATCCTAGAATTTGGGACCTCTTCAATTGAATGGCGCTTGATTCACAGTCATAAATGTCATTTGTCAATATGCAACCAACTCCAAAGACTTGTTGGCTAGATGATATGGTCATTCGAATTTGGCAAGTGTTGTTGGATGTTGTTGGATTGTTCTACCCTCCTTCCAACAATCATGCAAGCTGAGAGGAAGTTGTGGGAAGACCACCATAGACCACCATCCTTTTGGGTCACCTCAACCTGTCCACTTCCATGACTGTAGGAGGCTAGGTGCGCTTCAGCCACATTGCTTCCTCGGAACGGATCCATCCGTCCCAGTTTTTCCTCAGGCTCCGTCAGCCGGAAGTCGCCGAGCCGCCGGAAGTCCCCCGCCCGGCGGAAGTCCCCGAGCCGGAAGCGGAAGAGCCGCCTGCCTGCGGCGATTTGTTTTCCGGTTTGGCGAAGACGCGGACTGATGGCTGGGTGGGGTAAGTTTGGGGTCCAAGGCACTGGCCAAGCAGCTGCTTGCGGTTTGGATTGACTACCCCACTTGATGATGGGGGGGACACGGAGGCAAATTTGCCCGGGGGGGGGGGGGACTCGCTATTTGTCCCACGTCCGTCCTCTCCGAGAAGCAAGTAGGGCTGAGCTTAGCCTATGTGTGTGTGTGTGTGTTCATAGAGTGAAGAAACAAATCAAGAGAAAGATAAAGAGTTAAGCCAAACGAGTGAAGTAATTTGTGAAATCAGCAGTGAAGGTAAAGGGTGAAGCGAAGAGTAAAGTGAAGAGTAAAGCAAGCAGTAAATGAAAGAGAAACATCAAGTTTTAGCTTACAGAGTAAACCAATAAAGTAGAAAATAAAGCTAAGAGTACCTTGAAGAGTAAAGCGAATAGTCAAGTGAAAAGTCTATTGAAGAGACAGGTGAACTTGAACATAGCGAGCAAATAGTAGAGTGGAGTAAAACGTAAAGCACAAATTAAAGCCGCGAATTACGCAATGATTTACGTAGAATGTAAAGGACACATTTGAGGCAAGTAGTCGCCAGTCAGTACCTTTACTCATTTATTTTACTCTTTACTTGACTTCTTGCTTTATTCTCGTTGGATTTACTCTGAACTTACTGCTACTCTGTACTTTGCACTTAGACTTGTCTCTTTACTTTCTACTTTGCTGTTTGCATCACTTGGCTTCAGGTGGCATGTGTTGGTGTCTGTCGTTCGCTTCTTTGGCTCCGTCCAATGTTAATGGGCCTTTTGGGCCTTGGCAGCGCGTGCAGGACGCACGGTTTGCCCACCGACGGTGTTACATAAGTGTCCTCCTACAATCATGGCGAAGTTTGGATTTAAAGTACCGCAAAGTCCTGTTCTAGTTTATGTTGGCCCTGGCGGTATCTTGCAGTAAAGTTTCGGACAACGACCAGCCCTGCACCGCCTCTGCAAAGGTCCGAGCCGAAAGCGGAAGTCTCCCGAGCGCGAGAGGCGGGTACTCGAGTGGCTGGGAAATCCTCCGTGACCTGTTTCGGGTTAGAGGTGACTACCTTACTACTTGCAAGGTTACCTCTCCCCATGAATCATGACCCTTTGGTTGACATCATTCGCTCGGGGATTTATCCAGCCACCACCCAATTTCGAGGCTGCTCTAACCACTAACAGTCATAGCCACAGTACCCTCCCACCATCATGCAAGAGGACAGGAGGGTTTTGGAAGACAATGTTCCCTTTCGCGAAGCACCCTTTCCACTTCGTTCCATTTCTATATGGGCAAGCAGCGTGAGTTGGTCAGGTGCTACATTGTCATGATCGTAAGAGCCCGTGCGATGCTTCGCATTTGACTGCAACCTGTGTTGTGTCAGACGCATTGAACATGCTGACCCGAATTGCATATATTTGCCTGGCCCGTCATAACATTTTAGGCACACTGTGCTTTGCAAAATGAGATCTATGCCGCCCACAAGGTTGGTTTGATTTTGCGGCAGCTGTTACCATATATATATATATATATAAATACAGACTAGGTCTATGCAGTTGCTTGAACAACAAAATGGGCACAATCCGTTGGAAGTGTCAAGGTCACGCGCCAGTTCAATTTCGGAGACCTTGCAAGTCTGTATTCGTGGTGTGCAAGGCGTAATGCCTTCACAGTCCATACCTGAAAATGGTGTGGAAGACCAGCCTAGATGTTACAATATCGTTGAGAATCCTAGCATGATATATGTAGCTTGGGGGCAAAAGCTGTGCGAGGCAATTACGATGGACGCACCAATTGCCAGTAAACCAACCGACCAAAAACCGCCAAGCCACGGGCAATCAAGGGGAACTGGGATGGTTTTAGCATTCCCTTCCTTGATTAAACCAATGGGGGCGCAGTAGGTTAGTAGTTTCACGCCTGCTACTTTCGACTTCCGAAGGGGCCAAAACCCTCACTCCTCCCGCCCCGGCCAGCTTCAGGCCGCGGGTGCGCAAGCGCTCAAGGTCCCGCAGGGAGCGCCGGCCGGAGGGCACGAGCAGCTCGGATGGGTCCGACCACGTCCGACCACTTGAACAAATCAGAGCCATGCGGCCAGTTTGTCTCAAGTACCCAAAACGGGGAAGCACCGCACCCAGAACATCCAGAATATGGGGCAGATGCCTAGCAGCTGGATTTTTTTTATAACCTCCCAAAAACAACCATGAAACCTAAAAGAGGGTCTCTCGAACCTGGACAATCCATGGGCTCTCTTTCGGGCTCTTTGTGGGCATGTGTCAAAACCCGGGAGCCCTCAGACCCATGTTGGGTGGGAGAGTAAAAGAACATTTCTTTAGGGACCCAGACTTGGGCGTCAGGCGAAGGGGTGTGTGCCGGGCCTTGGACCAACTTGATCCAGAAAGTCGTTGTCAAAAGGCCTCAACACCTGGCGGTGATGCCTGCGCCCCACCGCATACCTTTGTTGTAGCGGTTAAATACGGGATCGTCTCAGAATCTCGGGAACTCCAAAGTGTGATTTCCATTTGGTTGGGATTCGACACCAGGAAATCCACCCCCAAAACAGAGACACCTAAATGAGAGTCTTCGTGCTGCAGTGAAACCTTTCAGGAGCTAAGTTTGCATCAGCCAGTGAGTCATAACTAGTAGTTCTGGACATGCAGATTCTCAGTTGCCGCTCTCCATTTGGATGGTGTTGCTGGCAAAGTGGCCAAGGGACTTGCTTGTTCTCACGGGCCCCTCAGTGTACTTAGCCCAGCTCCCAGGACATCTGACGGCACGGATGCTTTCTGTACTTGGACCCTCAACCTGCCAACAAAAAACATGCTATTTCGCCAACCATATGCCAACCAAGAAAAAAGAGGGTGTAGATTTGGGGCATGTTTCGGGTGTCCAATGATTTTTGTTCTTTCACGAGGGTGTAGATTTCCTCTCGGATGTAACCCAAACTGGTCGTGGTTTGGTTCAGGTGAGCAAGTGAAACAAGACTGGTCTCTTGCAAGTTTGGGGAGAACCAGGGAAAGGCCAACCCAAGTTTTCCTCACAAACATGTTGGGGAAACACAATTCCGTCTAGGGTTCACATGGATGCCTACAACTTCACACTGCATGAAATCCTGTTGTCCAACCCCAATCCAGTTTAGTCCTCGACCCTCTCATCCCATCATTTCGTGTTTGGCAGGTTTCCCAGGTGTACCAAGTCATTTTGACGGTATCAAGTCATTTTGAGTTTTGCCGCGGGTCGTCGGAGTTCGGCATCGGAAGCCCCAACTCGAGGCAAGCGCAAGCACAGCTCCAGCAGCAAGGCCAAGTTCCGGCGCGCCAAGTCGCCGGTGCAGGCGCCCGTTGGCGTTGGCGTTGGCAGTGCCTTGTTCGAGAAACCGATTCATTGTGCGAAATTTTGTTGACCCGAAATGGAACCCGTGGGGAGGATTCGACTTGCAAGCCATTTGTGCGCGTGAGGAAGTGATCTTTTGAGGGTAATTATCCTTTTCACCTGGTTTGAACAAGATTTACAACCCATGGAACTGATATGAACTGATAAAGATCGTAAAACCAGCTCTCTTGACTCTTGCCCGGGATGGTGTCATTGCCTCGCCAAAAGAGGGTCCACCAGCTTCAGAACTCCAATTTGGATGGACATGGATTTACCTCAAGGTACCTCAAGCCACCCTTAAACATGCGTGAGTATGGGGCAATATCCCATGTTCTTGGTTTTGTTTAAAGGGTCCAGGCGGTTCGGGTGCCACTTGTAGACGATGTTTATGCACCTTGTTTGGGTCGATTTAAAGGGAAGCCACAAGAAACCGCCTATTTTTCTACTGGTGCCTTCCCCATTCTTTCCCGGGATCCTTCTTTCGAAAACGAAAACAAAGAGAAACAGCTGGTTTTTGAGAAGAACGATGGTTGAAAAGAATGGAATTGGAATCAACCCCTAGAATTTCTGGAGAGGCCAATGCCCTTGGTGGAAATGTACGTTTTTTCTCCAAACAGTTTACTGTGAGGGGTTCTAAATTCATTTAAAGTGACTCGCCTATTGCCAAGACCTGGGCTGGATACCTGGCACGGCTCTCTGGTGGACGGGTTCATTTGTCTCCCTTTGTCTCCTGTGATTTGTCTCCCGTTGTCTCCCAGCCTGGATGCCGCCCTGCTTGAATGTCTGGCACGGCTCTCCCGGTCTCTTGTTGTCTCCCAGCCTGGACTTCTGGCACGGCTCTTTGTCTCCCTTCGTCTCCCCTTCGTCTCCTTTGATTTGTCTCCCGTTGCCTCCCAGCCTGGATGCCTGGCACGGCTCTCTTGGTGGACGGGTTCATTTGTCTCCCTTTGTCTCCCGTTGTCTCCCAGCCTGGATGCCTGGCACGGCTCTCTTGGTGGACGGGTTCATTTGTCTCCCTTTGTCTCCTGTGATTTGTCCCGTTGTCTCCCAGCCTGGATGCCTCCCTGCTTGAATGTCTGGCACGGCTCTCCCGGTCTCTTGTTGTCTCCCAGCCTGGACGTCTGGCACGGCTCTTTGTTTCCCTTCGTCTCCCCTTCGTCTCCCTTGATTCGTCTCCCGTTGTCTCCCAGCCTGGATGCCTGGCACGGCTCTCTTGGTGGACGGGTTCATTTGTCTCCCTTTGTCTCCCGTTGTCTCCCAGCCTGGATGCCTCCCTGCTTGAGGTCTCTTGTTGTCTCCCAGCCTGGACGTCTGGCACGGCTCTTTGTCTCCCTTCGTCTCCCCTTCGTCTCCTTTGATTTGTCTCCCGTTGTCTCCCAGCCTGGATGCCTGGCACGGCTCTCTTGGTGGACGGGTTCATTTGTCTCCCTTTGTCTCCTGTGATTTGTCTCCCGCTGTTTCCCAGCCTGGATGCCTCCCTGCTTGAATGTCTGGCACGGCTCTCCCGGTCTCTTGTTGTCTCCCAGCCTGGACGTCTGGCACGGCTCTTTGTCTCCCTTCGTCTCCCCTTCGTCTCCTTTGATTTGTCTCCCGTTGTCTCCCAGCCTGGATGCCTGGCACGGCTCTCTTGGTGGACGGGTTCATTTGTCTCCCTTTATCTGCTGTGATTCAGCCTGGATGCCTCCCTGCTTGAATGTCTTGCACGGCTCTCCCGGTCTCTCGTTGTCTCCCAGCCTGGACGTCTGGCACGGCTCTTTGTCTCCCTTCGCCCGTTGTCTCCCAGCCTGGATGCCTGGCACGGCTCTCTTGGTGGATGGGTTCATTTGTCTCCCTTTGTCTCCTGTGATTTGTCTCCCGTTGTCTCCCAGCCTGGATGCCTCCCTGCTTGAATGTCTGGCACGGCTCTCCCGGTCTCTTGTTGTCTCCCAGCCTGGACGTGTGGCACGGCTCTTTGTCTCCCTTCATCTCCCCTTCGTCTCCTTTGATTTGTCTCCCGTTGTCGCCCAGCCTGGATGCCTGGCACGGTTTTCTTGGTGGACGGGTTCATTTGTCTCCCTTTGTCTCCTGTGATTTGTCTCCAGTTGTGTCCCAGCCTGGATGCCTCCCTGCTTGAATGTCTGGCACGGCTCTCCCGGTCTCTTGTTGTCTCCCACGGCTCTTTGTCTCCCTTCGTCTCCCCTTTGGACGGGTTCATTTGTCTATCTTTGTTTCCTGTGATTTGTCTCCCGTTGTCTCCCAGCCTGGATGCCTCCCTGCTTGAATGTCTGGCACGGCTCTCCCTCTTGTTGTCTGCCAGCCTGGACGTCCCCTTCGTCTCCTTTTGATTCCCGTTGTCTCCCAGCCTGGCACGGCTCTCTTGGTGGACGGGTTCATTTGTCTCCCTTTGTCTCCTGTGATTTGTCGCCCGTTCTCTCCCAGCCTGGATGCCCTGGCACGGCTCTCCCGGTCTCTTGTTGTCTCCCAGCCTGGACGTCTGGCACGGCTCTTTGTACTCCCTTCGTCCCCCTTCGTCTCCTTTCATTTGTCTCCCGTTGTCTCCCAGCCTGGATGCCTGGCACGGCTCTCTTGGTGGACGGGTGCATTTGTCTTGTTGTCTCCCAGCCTGGACGTCTGGCACGGCTCTTTGTCTCCCTTCGTCTCCCCTTCGTCTCCTTTGATTTGTCTCCCGTTGTCTCCCAGCCTGGATGCCTGGCACGGCTCTCTTGGTGGGGTTCATTTGTCTCCCTTTGTCTCCTGTGATTTGTCTTCTGTTGTCTCCCAGCCTGGATGCCTCCCTTCTCGAATGTCTGGCACGTCTCTCCCGGTTTCTTGTTGTCTCCTAGCCTGGACGTCTGTCACGGCTCTTTGTCTCCCTTCGTCTCCCCTTCGTCTCCTTTGATTTGTCTCCCGTTGTCTCCCAGCCTGGATGCCTGGCACGGCTTTTTTGTCTTCCTTCGTCTCCCCTTCGTCTCCTTTGATTTGTCTCCCGTTGTCTCCCAGCCTGGATGCCTGGCACGGCTGTCTTGGTGGACGGGTTCATTTGTCTCCCTTTGTCTCCTGTGATTTGTCTCCCGTTGTCTCCCAGCCTGGATGCCTCCCTGCTTGAATGTCTTGCACGGCTCTTCCGGTCTCTTGTTGTCTCCCAGCCTGGACCTCTGGCACGGCTCTTTGCCTCCCTTCGTCTCCCCTTCGTCTCCTTTGATTTGTCTCCCGTTGTCTCCCAGCCTGGATGCCTGGCACGGCTCTCTTGGTGGACGGGTTCATTTGTCTCCCTTTGTCTCCTATGATTTGTCCCCCCCCCTGCTTGAATGTCTGGCACGGCTCTCCCGGTCTCTTGTTGTCTCCCAGCCTGGACGTCTGGCACGGCTCTTTGTCTCTCCCCTTCGTCTCCTTCCCCCCCCCCCCAGCCTGGATGCCTGGCACGGCTCTCTTGGTGGACGCATTTGTCTCCCTTTGTGTCCTGTGATTTGTCCCGTTGTCTTTCAGCCTGAATCTCCCGGTCTCTTGTTGTCTCCCAGCTGCCTGGATGTCTGACACAGCTCTTCGGGCGGGTAGGTTTATTTGTCACCTTTGTCTCCCTTCATTTGTCTCTTGTTGTTTCCCAGCCCGGATGCCTGGCATGGCGCTTTTGGGTGGACGGACTCATTTGTCTCCCTTTGTCTCCCTTCTTTTTTGTGGGTGGACGGATGCTCTCTGGTTGGACGGCGTTGTCTCGTAGCCTAGATGTCTGGCACGGTTTTCTGGGTGGTCTCCGTTCATTTGTCTCCCGTTCTCTCCCAGATTTGTCTCCCGTTGTCTCCCGGCCTGGGTGCCGGTCTCCTCGCATGCAACCACGATGGAATGCGATTTGCTGGACAAAAGGGGAGACAAATCGGCTGAGGGAAGAAGGCAGGGATGCCTTGTACCGAGCTTGCGTATTTCCCTGCGAAAGCAAATGTTTTACTGGATCGATACGAAGAGTGGCCACAATACGATAAAGGCACTTTAGAGCGTTCTATCGAGCAACAGATTGGTCGATACGAAAGAGACTGTGCAGCTAAGCGAGAAAGAAGCGCAATGCGCCGGAAAGCTTTTGCTTAGCTGAAGCCTGCAAATGCTGGAGACTATCCGATACTGATAGTACTAGCAGTAGCAGCAGCAGCACGTGTTGCAAAAAGTCTAGATTGATTGCACACGAACACTATTTTCCTACTTGGAACATGCATATAAAACACAAGCGTTGTGCAAGGCAGAGCCCCATGGAACAGCGCCTCACAGCCGGCTTCGGGAACTTGATTTAGTCACCCGGGGGTGCAGAAAATGTAAGTTCCATGTGAACACATTTTGCTGCCCAGGCGCACGCATGTGTGTTGCACATTTGTGTTGCGCATGTTTCTTCACATGTGCACATACGTGTGGTCCATGTGTACACATATGTGTGTGTTACAAGTTACAAGTCAACACAGAAGTTTGTTCTGGTTAACCATGTTGGTGTGACCCAGGTCTGCACGGGAAGGTGGTCGTTTTTGAACGCGTGTTTTGGCTCGTTTTTGAACGCGTGTTTCGGCTCGTTTTTGAACGCGGTTTTGTTCAAGTGTGTGTGTGTGTGATTTACAGCAGCACGGCCATCTTTCCAAGTGTCCATGCACACCACGATGAGGCGCACGAACACGCACCACGATGCACGTGTAGCACATGGATGGCGCCGTGCTTCTGGGAGACAATCGTCAACTGTAGACCCGGGAACACAAAGCACAAGGAACGCAAAGCGACATCACCATCATCATCAACATCATCATCGTCATCATCAACATCATCATCATCATCACCATCATCATCAACATCGTCATCATCACTACCAACAACATCACCATCGTCAACATCACCATCAACATCATCATCATCATCATCAACATCGTCATCATCACTACCAACAACATCACCATCGTCAACATCACCACCAACATCTATATCATCATCATCAACAACACCGTCAACATCACCATCATCAACGTCATCATCACCACCAGCATCATCACCATTACCATCAGGATCAACATCATCATCGTCAACATCATCATCAACATCGTGAACATCAACATCATCACCATCATCATTTTAACATCATCATCACCATTGTCAACATCAACGTCGACATCACCATCATCATCGACATCACCAAAGTCATCGTCATCGACATCCTCATCGCCAACATCAATATCATCATCATTAACATCATCACCATCATCATCACCGTCATCACCGTCATCATCATCATCATCATCATCATCATCAACATCGTCAACATCATCATCATCAACAACAACATGACCATCATCAACATGACCATCATCATCAACATCGTCATCATCACCACCAACAACACCATCACCACCAGCGCGCAGTCGCACGGTCACGCAGTAAGAAGCGAACGGAACTGCCCCACCCCATGCCCCCCCCCCCAGCCACAGGACGCAGTCGCACGGTCACGCAGCAAGAAGCGAACGTAACTGCCCCACCCCACCCCCCCCCCAGCCCCAATACGCAGTTGCGCGCCACGCAGTAAGCAGCGATCGCAATTACCCCCTTCCCAGCCCCAGGATGCAGTCGCGCGGTCACGCAGTAAGAGGCGAACGTAACTGCCCCACCCCACCCCCACCCCCACCCCCAGGACACAGTGGCACGGTCACGCAGTAAGAGGCGAACGTAACTCCCCCCCCACCCCACGGGTGCCGCAGGATAGCCCCCCCATGTGTTCAAAAACGACCCAGTCTGTGTTCGAAAAAGATCCAGGACATCGGTTTTCGAAAATGATCCAAAATCGGTGTTCGACAATGATCCCCCTCCCGGTCTGCACCAGTGCTGCACTTGAACACAAATGCCTCTGCCAAGTGAGCACATGTGTGGGTTCCAGGTGAACACAAATGTGTGTTGCAGGTGAACGGAAGTGCTTTCCAGACATACACACACATGTGTTCCAGGTGTACGCATGTGTGTGTGTGTGTTCCAGGAACACGTTTGTTCTCAGATGAACACGCGTATATACATATGTGTGTGTTCGCGTGTACACACATGTGTGTTCCCTGTGTACACATATGTGTGTTCACGTGAGTTCATATGCGTGCACACGTGTGCACACATGTGTGTCCATGTGTACACACATGTGTGTTCTTATCAGACACGTGCATGTGTTCCGGGAGAGCACATGTTTGTTTCAGATGAACACTCGCATGCGTGTTCCAGTGCACATATATATATATATATATATGTGTGTGTTCACATGTACACATATGTGTGTTCCAAGTGTACACATATCTGCGTTCGCGTGTGCACACATGTGCGTTCCAACTGGACACGTGTTTGTGTCCAGGACAACACATGTTTGTTATCAGATGAACACGTGTCTGTGCGTCTCTGCTCCGCGTGCAGATGTATGTGTGTTCATTTGTACACATATGTGTGTTTCACGTGTACATATTTGTGTGTTTTCTTGTGCACACATGTGTGTTCCAATTGGACACTTGTTTGTGTTTCAGGTGAATACATATTTGTTTTCAGATGAACGCACGTGTGTGTGTGTGTGTTCCGGGTGCACGTGTGTATGTATGTGTGTTCATTTGTACACATATGTGTGTTTCACGTGTACATATTTGCGTGTTCACGTGTACACACATGTGTGTTCCAATTGGACACGTGTTTGTGTTTCAGCTGAATACATGTTTGGTTTCAGATGAACACTCGTGTGTGTGTTCTGGGTGCACATATATGTGCGTGCGTTCACGTGTACGCAAATGTGTGTCGCACGTGTACACATATGTGTTTCACGTGTACACACATGTGTGTTCCAATTGGACACGTGTTTGTCTTCCAGGTGAACAGATGTGTGTTCCACGTGAACACATTAGCATGTGCTACGCGATTTTTTGCATCTGACTACATATGTGCTCTCCAGGTGTACACATGTATGTGCCCCGCAAAGACGCATGGTTGTTTTCGAGGTGCGCGCATGTGTGTGCTTGAGGAGATCATTTATGTTTGCTCACGTGTGCACATATGTGTGTTCCACTTGTGCACGCATGTGTGCTTTAATCGCACACGTGGTGTTCCTGGACACATATTTGTGTTCCAGCGGCATACATATGTGTGTCCCACGTGTACACACATGTTTGCATTAATTGCACGTGTTTGTGTTCCAGGTGAACACATGTCTGTTCTACGTGTATACACATGTGTGCCTATGTGTACACACATGTGTGTCCGAATTGGACACGCGTTTCATTGTGTTCGAAGTGAACATGCATGTGTGTTCCACGTGAACACATTAGCGTGTCGTAGGTGAACACATGTGTGCTCCAGGTGTACACATGTGTGTGTGTGCTTTCCAAGAAGCACATGTTTGTTTTCCAGCTCAACACATGTATGCGTGCGCCGCAGCTGAATGTATATGTGTGTGTTCACGGGTGCACATCTGGGCGTGCCGCGTGTACCGTTTCAGTCGTACAAATATGTGTGTCCACGTGTACACACATGTGTCTGAATTGGACATGTGTGTCTGAACTGCCCATGTGACCGCGCGCTTGCGCAGCCGCACTTGCGTTCGCGCGCGCGCTCGCCCGCTATCGCACGCGCTTGCCCAACCTCAGTTCTGGCGCGGCGCTGAAGCGCGAAGCACGCCAGCAACACATGTGCAGCAACGCAACGCGTGCCAAGTTCACGACTGCATCATTTTGATTCATCCGTGTTGAAGCGCGGAAACTGTTGGCATGTTACAATGTTTGTGCTTGCCCGTCAGTCCTCAACTGTTTGGGGTCTCTGCTGGTGTTATTTACCTTTATCTCTGTGAGCAGGACTCCCCCGAAAAAGCCCGCCACTCACAGCATTGGTTTTTGGCTTCTGTAGAATTTTAGGGTGCCCCTGTGAGTCGCCAATCTCTCTGCCAGGCGTCGAGGCGCGCGCCCTCCTCCTCGAGCCCGCGGAAGGCGACGGCGAAGCCGAAGAGCGCCGCTGTGAAGAGCCGCGGCGAAAAGGCGAAAAAAACGAGAAGCATCCGGCGAGTCGTCATTTCCCGCGTGTGCCTGGACCCGGAAAAACCTACTTGTCATTGGGTACTTGCCAATCAGTGTCATGCTTTCTGTATGTGTATGCGTGTGTGTGTGTGTGTGGGAAAATTCGAGGTGAAGTTGTGTCTAGTGGCCCCCCTTTCCCTTTTTTTGCTTAGCGGGTCCCCAAGAAAATGGTTGCTCCCAATAAAGGGTTCCCTTTTATTGACAGGTTCATCGGGCAAGGGGAAGCCGCCACTCATCAACTGGGTGGTGTCTCTTTGGTTTTCCGTTCAAAGCCACTCCTCGAATTTGCTATCCTCAAAAAGGACGCTCCTGACTTAGCAGCGCCCAAAGCCCGCATGGCCGATTGAGCAGAGTATCCTACTTCTTTTGACACACATAAAACTCAGGGGTTTTGAGGACTGCCCAAGTGGCTAGCAAACAACATGTGGGGGTTGATCAATATTCCATTTGCGGCCCCCAAATGAGGAAAGGGTAAGTTGTCCCATGTGAGAAATCGAAATATCAAATACTTTTGGTGGTTTCCTTGAATGAGAGTGCCCACTGGGCTCTGAATGTTGATGAGAATGAGGGTTGGCCAAGTGTGATTGGTTTAATCAATAAAGGGGCTAATGTCAGAAGGTCCGCGCTGAGCCTGAAGGTTCTAGAATGCAACTGCTTGCCCGATCGGGATATGAGAGGACGGTTAATAGTTCCCTGTATTGTAAGTACTAAGCATAAGCCAAGCACGAACCATGGCCACTTGTTGGTGCCAATTTGCGTGGCCTTTCAGGAGGCAGAATAGGATGCCGGTCCCAGAATAAGGACCTGCTTGTTGGAGGGTTCAAAAGGAAACTTAAAGCAAACCAACCACCAGGGTTCCTTACTTTGGAGAAACACCCCATCAATTGAACCCGAGGACAAACAACACCCGCAAGAGATGGACGGGGGGGGAGCTACCCCCAAAAAAGGCCCTCCCCATACAGAAGGAGGTCCAAGGCAAGTCATATAAAAGGGTGGCCCTGCGTGTTTCCCAGTTGAGCCACAATCAAAACCTGGGCAATAGGTTAATTAGAGTCGAAGACAGAAATAGGTTTAGATATCCACCCAGTTGTTTTTTTTCCATGAAAACTGGGCAGACTCATTAATTGCCAGGGTTTGATTGTGACTCAGTTAGGAGCGGGCTGAGGAAAACAATCACCAAGAAGGTGCCCGAGAAGAAGGCGGCGCCGCCCTCATCAGATTCCTCTACGTCTCCGGCAACGCGGCCAGTGCCGAAGAGGCTCAGCTGTGAACCAGCGTGCCAAGCGTTTTTGCAATCGGTTTAAGTTGGTTGGAGAGGCGCATCGAATCAACAATCGAAACAAGCTAACATCGAAGCTAACACACGATGGGCAATCGAACATGACGTGTTCCTTCCTCTTATCTCTTGGTACCTTCGCAGGCTGTTGGTCTGAAAGACCATCCTGAGGTACCACAGCACATCACAGCACCCTTTGGGACTCGATGTGTCAGTTTGACCAGTTTCTGTGACAAGTCGGGAAGCCATGAAGCATTTTTCAGCATGGATTCGTGAGACCTGGAGGTAACCCTATGTAGGGGAGAGAGCGAGAAAGAGAGAGGCAGAGCAGCGCATGGTGTGTTGAACTTGGCTGACTTGCGCTTAGCTGAATGGCGAGATTTGTCGGCTTCTTTTTGCCAATCGGACTGAGCCCACATATGTTCACACTAATTCCCACATGGGGATTTTCTGAAGGACTGGTGACGGCCAACAGTAGTTGCTTGCCACCTTTTCCTTTACGGAAGGTCCTTTGGGTTTGAGGCCGAGTGAGCGATATGAAAGAACCATCAACTTGGCTACAGCCTTGGCAATCGACTGAAGCATGGATAATTTGAAACCAGCTGAAGCTTTGTTTAGGTTAGGATAGTGCTTTGCAGTGCAGGGTGAGTCGGGAAGAGGCCAGATCATGCAGAGCAGAGTTTTGATTCCAGGACCGTGGGGTCACTGATCATTTACAGCCTGTTACCAATTCGATGCAGCAGCAATCATATGCTCGACCAAGAAGTCTAGAAGTCTAGCAGACTGCAAATGAACGGGCACAATCGTAACCACACAAAAACTGCAACACAACCGGCTCGAAAGGAGGAGCTGACAAGCCTTCAAGCCAGCGGCAATTCACGTTGTTTGCGCCATGGCTCGCCGGCCATGGATGCTACTTTTTCGCATGGCACTCGCTTGGCACGTGAGTAGCTCGTGCACGCGGGCCTTCACAAACTTCGAGCTTTGCCTTGGCCGCTCTCAACGGCCAGCAGGGCGCGTTGCGCGGAAGGTGCGCGAGAGGCAGCAGAGCCCTCGGCCGCGGCAGCAAGGGCGCTTGGAGGGATTTGGCCACACGGACCCACGGCTAATTACAAGCCGAGCCAAAGAGTCTGCATCAGCATCCGAAGTTCTGCAGGTCGTGTGGGCAGAGCGCCATAATCCAGAATTGAACCTGATTTCGGTTTCTGCAGCATGGAAAAGGCTGACAGAAGTAGAGCGAAGCATCACCAAAGATGTGACCGGGCGTGGTTCGATGTCAATGTTTCTCAATTTGACTCAGTGTTTGGAGAAGCCATTTGTGGAAGCACGTGCAGCTGCCAACATATTTTGGGCAATGGCAAAGCTGCAGGGATGCATGAGCATGCAGCTAAAAGTTCTGAAGACATCCTTGCGGAATGCCATCATGATCACCACAAAACAGATGAATGCGCAAGAAGTGTCCAATGTGATTTGGGCAGTGGAGAAACAATATGCGCAAGATCCTAGCGACGACAAAGGCTTACTGGCTCTGCTGCCTGTGCTGGCAGGGCGGGTGCCAGCCGTGATCTCGGAAATGAGCGCCCAAAACGTTGCTAACGTGATTTGGGCAGTGGTGAAACTCGCCACGAATGGGGCTGCCTCCGAATCTTTGCTGGACCTGCTTCCTGTTGTGGCAGACAGGGCTTCAGCTGTGATATCAGAGATGACGGCCCAGCACGTTGCCAATGTGATTTGGGCAACAGGACAGCTTTATGCTGAGCCTAGCCATTCCCAGGTGTCGCAGCAGTTGCACGATTTGCTTCCGGATTTGGTCGTCTGAGCACAGGAAGTGCTACCTTCTGCTAAGCCGCAAGCATTTTCAAATGCTTGCTGGGGACTGGCATTGAGCGATTATCATGATATTGGCTTCCTTCAAGCCGTGTCAGCGAGGGTAGTAAGTGAAGCTTCCACATGGCATCCAAGAGCGGCTGAGCTGGACCTGCCTTCAGTGCTTTTCGCTTTCGCCCGGCTAAATGCGGAGGGCTATGATGACATGCTAGACGTTGCCGCTGAAAAACTGGCGCCGATTCTTCCAAGAATCAACGACTGGGGCCTTTGTGCCTTGGCCTGGTCGTACTCACAGCTGGATGCTGGGGACAACTTCTTTTCCTTTCGGCAGAGTTTGAATGCAGAGGTGGCACGGCGTGACTTTTCAGAACAGGATGTTGAGCAAAGTCGCCTGGGGCCGAACAGGTGGTGGAAGGACCATGCAGACACTGGATAGCCCAGTGAAACTCGTTCACTGATCAGTTTTTGCTTATGAAATCCATGTTGACACCTTCAATTTAATTTAACCATTGACTCATTCAGCATCTATTGTCTAGATTTGCCGACGTTTCAAAGAAGATGTCAACGACATAGCTGTGATGTCTTGCAGAGACAGCAGCCAGTTGCCTAGGGAGGTTCAGAATTCAGAAGCAGAGCACCCAGCCCCGCCGAGTGCAGTGGCTGTCACTTGTCGCACCCGGGGCTGCCGAGTGACCCTTGCAAGCCTTCTGACGGTCCATGTGTAAGCTGTGTAGATCAAAAAAGTGGTTTGCCTGCCTGACTGGACTCAGAGTTGACGTCAGAGTTATGCATTGCTGGTCATGCGGTCAGCCCTAATAATTTCGGTCGCTTTAATCTCCTGTCTCTGGTTCATATTTCGAATCTCCACTTTTATTTGAATGCAGCAACTACCTCTCCCCACGTTTGACATGTTTAGATCAACGTAGTTCTTCGCCATGCGATGCCGAGATGCTCCCCAGTTCTCTGGTTTGGCCAGGTGGGAAAGCCGTGTGTTCAACAACATCTTAGCCATCCCCTGTTCAGTGAGTTTGTTCGTTTGTCAGTCTTTCCTCGCTTGGACCCCTTCAACCGCTGCAGCTTCTGCCATCTCCTTCAACTCTTGGGAGTGTGTCAGAAACAGGGATGCCTGCAGATGACTGGCTTCACTGACGATTCCTGTCTTCCTGGCCCGTGTCACATATCCGGCTGTGGTGCGAGTATGATCCAATGCAGCCAGCGTATCCTCCCTTGTGCATATTTCGAGCGGTGTGCAACCTCCAGATCCCACACCTGAAAACTGTCACGCAATCAACAAAGATATTCCCAGTTTTGACGCATGCTCCAAGGCATTTGCAGGTATGGGTCTTGGAGGTATGTGAGCGGCGAAAAAAACCTCCGTAGATCAATTTAGATGAAACTGGAAATTACTCTTGCAGTCGTAAGCGTTTTTGCGTGATTCGTAAGCGATCGGAAGGTCCTGCGTAAGCTGCATGCATGAGTCACTCGTCGTAAGCTTTGCGTAAGCTCTGTTTGTCAGATCCGTTTTTCGTTCAGACTGTTTGGTAGAAGTTGCTTTTGGTCCGCGTAATGCTTTTAGGCGTGAAAATGGGATCAGATTGCTGGAATGGGTTCTTTCGAGCAACAAGGAAAGGGATTCTTTCAGTGAACAACTTTTTCTGGCTCAGACAACTGCTGTTTGACCGTTGGGTTACTTGTGCAAACCTTTTGCAATGTTCCACGCACAGCGCGTTGGCCAGCTTGAACAAAAAAGCTCGCGTTTGGAAAACAACTTTTCGAGACCCGAAAGTTTTGTTTTGGCACCTCACCTTGTTCGTTGCGCGGGCTTGGAAAACAACATGTTGAGCCCCGCTTGTTTTGCTGCGGATTTGCCTTTTCACCTTTGGGCCTTGGGCTTGGAAAGCACAAACAACTTTTCGAGCCCAGAAAAGTTTTTTTTGTTGCGAGGCACCTTTTGCCACCTGCAGGCACTTTTCAGGGCCCCGAAGCCAAAAAAAGCTCGCGGGCTGGAACAACAACTTAGAAAACAACTTTTCGGACCCCCAAAAGTTTTCCCCCTCTATGTCACTGCTGAGCCTGTGCAGCAAAGCCTGCACCTCTTGCTCGCAGCGCCCGTGCGCTGTCTGCAAAGTTTTCTTGAGCTGTTGCCCCTCTCTGGCCGTGAAAGCTTTAACACCGGCTTCGGGCAGCAACATCAGGATCACATGGTGTAGTGGTATCACACCCGCTTCGCATGCGGCAGGCCCAGGTTCAAATCCCTAGTGTGCCCACGTCAATGCTGAGCTTGCGCGGTAAAGCCTTTGCACCTTTCCGTGCAAGCTGTTGCTCTGTCATGCTGGCGCCTCTTGCTCGTAGTGGATCCTCGCAGAAAACAACTTTTCGGGTTCCCAAAAGTTTTCCCCTCCATGTCACTGCTGAGCCTGTGCAGCAAAGCCTTTGCGCCTTTCCAGGCAAGTTGTTGCTCTGTCCTGCCGGCGCCTCTTGCTCGCAGAGGTTCCGCGCGCTTTCCGCAGAAAACAACTTTTCGTGCCCCGAAAGTTTGTTTTCAGCTTTTGGCCCTCCATTGTCTTGCTGGGCCTGCGCAGCAGCCTTTCCATCTGCAAGCTGTTGCTTTGTCATGCTAGCGCCTCTTGCTCATCGAGGATCAGGCACGAGCAACTTGTCGTAAGCTATGCGTAAGCTCCATCTTCGAAA